AAGGTTAGGGCGTTGACCATTCAGTAGCTATGACGGAATCCTATAACCTGTGGGTTCTGACTTCTGTTAGTTGTCGATATAAAGCCAGAGTTTCTGCAGTTCTGCACACTCACTACTTTATACGTGTGTGTATACACACTCAGACACGCAATTAATTATATAGAACTGATACTTCAAAAGTTTGATTACACTAGACATCATGGTGTGTCTGTTTGTGTTTAATTGCTAATTTAGGAAGTGTCTGTAATGTGTTACGGTGAAAATATAAGATTAAATGTAATTAAAACTTGTGCGTCGGTGGCATGGCGGTTAGGACGCTCGCCGACCATGCACATGGTCCGGGGTTCGATCCCCGACCGACGCACTCCTTCACCTCGCTGAGCCAGAAATAATGCTGTGAAGAGGAAAGGTTAGGCATGAGGATGTTAAATAAACACTACTACAGAAACTTCAAGCCGCTAGCTTGAAGCCCTATGTTCCACTGGGGAACGTGAAGGAAAAAACTTGGAATTTCAGAATAATCGTCGATAATGAACAAAGAAAATTATGATGAAACAGAGGAGACTGCTTGCTAGATAGATTTATCTATGTATATGAATAAGAATAATAATGTGGCTGTTAGTTTCGTCCGAATAGTGACTCATCAGGTGAATCCAACACTGGTGTGAGAGAAACAAGAAATTCAAAAAAGATAACTATCTTTTCAGTGATTTTATCCTCAAAAGCAGCTGTACAATCGCATTTGTGCATATAAGTTCATTTAGTTACACGTATGATTTAATTCCACACTAAAACGAAAAGAGATTAGTGGTGATAATAATATTCAACTTGATATGAATGTTAGAAGATGCGAACATTGACTACAAGTGGCTTAGAAATAAAATCACACAGGATTAGAAAATAGTTTATTTTAACGACTGCATGTTTGAATGGGATGAGCATTGGAAAGAAAACTGAAACGATGAAGGAGTCAGGACTAGTTTCTTTTGATCACATACCTCTGGCTTTTCGATGTAAATGGTTAGAGCCTCTACAGTGGAAACTATTTGGAAACACACTACCTTTGGTAGATTTTTGTTTACTTTGCAAATGACTTTGAATGATGAGTCAGTTGAGATGATGTGATAGATGTTGACAAGGTGTTGAGTTATGGAGCATCCTAGTGAACCAGTGCCTCCCCTCTGCAGCCATGCTGGGTAATGATCTCTAATATATTTTGAAAGGACGCGCATAGAGCAACTTATGTACTTGTCTCTACAAGGGCAGGTGAATTGATATCTGCACACTGGAGTGACCACATGGGGAAGTTTATCTTTTGAATTGCTTAGTAGCAGTGGGTGGCTAGAGTATATCACTATAAGTGTTACTTTAAGAAACGTCTTTTCTAGGGAACTATAGGTTTTCCTTTTAAGGATATCTGCAGCTAAGTCGCCGTGGCGGTTCAGATTCAATTACATTGTTTTCTTTGGTACAGAAATGCATCCCTCTCTTTTTGGCTTTGGTTTCATGTTCTCCACCACAAAATGGACTGGGTATTCATTTTGAGTAAGGTTGTTTTTGAGAAATAAGATCTCTTCTCCCACGCAGTCAATGCTGCGAAGTTCTTCTGATAAGCTGAGTAAGTGAAAAGATGAGAGCTGTTCTTTCGACTGACAGGTATTCAACTACAGAAGCTTGTCAGTTGGCCATTCCATGATGGTTTTCTGTGGATCGATCCTTTAAGAGTTCCCTCATCTCTTTCTGTCAATTCTACGTCCAGAAATGGAATCTTTGATTCACTTTCTAATTCCAGGGTGAATTTAATTGAAGGATGGCAATTCTTGTAATATAAAGTTTTGTTGGGCAAAACAAGAACCAATCCCCTAAAAAATATGCAGGAGAACTTGGAGATGGATTGGAGATTCACTGAGGAGGCCACTGGGTGACATCGCGCGTCAGGCCAACGCTCGAGTGGAACTCGAAAGGGGAGCAGAGAGTGGGACGTCGAAGGGTGACATGGAGGAGAGCGTGTGAAGAGGAGTTGAAACAGTATGGATTAACATGGACGCAGGAGAAAAGTACAGCAGAAGACAGAAACAAGTGGAGACGTGTAGTTGAAGCCCTATGTTCCACTAGGAACCTAAGGGAGCAATAATGATAATAATACAGTTTAGATCGGAGTCATCATGACAGAATAAATAAGTGTCATCGACAGGCTTGTTTTACAGCAGTAATTTGTTAACTGTTCATTTTAAGATTCTATTTTCTAGACTGGCTGTAAAGAGCGGTCTGCTGAAAGTGGGCCAGGAGAAGATGTCATAATATATATCCACCTTCTTTAATATATGATGAAGTAGTTTAATTTGTTGGAATCCAGAGAGATTTCATCACGAGCTGACACCATCTAGGAAATCACTAGAAAGTAGTGAGCACTGAACAAATATTCCATCCTAGTTTCATACTTTTTAACAATGCGCATCAGCGGCTCCCCATAGGACGGAACCCTGAACCTCAGGGTGCTGACCGTTGAGTAACTATGACAGAAACCTTTAGCCTGTAGATTCTGATTTCTTTCAGTTCACGATGTAATGTCTGGGTTTCTGTAGTCCTGCTTTTCTTTTTTGTTTCTGTGAATGAATACTGAGATTGTAGTGTGATCATCAGAATAATTCTAATCGTGATCAGGTTTGTCTGGAGTTCTAATAAGAAGTCGTGGAGTCTACTAAGTCAGCTATGAGAGCACATAATCCCCTATAATATTGGCTGGCTGTGTCGCTAAAAATCACAAGTTATTATATGGGTGGAAAACACTCATGAGCCTGAACAGCTAGATGAGTGGTTGGTGACTTCTCTGACTGGAGCACTGGGCGACACGGTTTGAATCTCAGAAGGGAAATGAGTGCCCTCAAGGTTGCAGATACACCTAGCTGACGAGTTACAGTAAGCACGAATCCTAGGTCCAAGGCTTCTTTCCGATTGCCTTCAACTACCTAATAACAACATTTCTGAGTGTACCATGATGGTGAGCCAGCTAGCTTGGTTTGGCCACATTGCAAACTTGACTGATAGAATTCAGTCTGCGTCAGACAAAAGACTAGACGCATGACACTAGTTAGTGTCTAATCAAAGAAGTTAGAATTAATGGTCAATGAGCTTGTCTCGCAACCTGAAGATCCTGCGTTCGAGTCCCAGTGGGGTCACTAACGCCTACTGATGAAGAGTCGCAAACTAGGACGAAACTGGTTTCTGTAACTCCTTAACAGTTTTCAGTCGTTTTCTAACAATTATCAGTTCATGGGCAAACTTTAAACCAATCTACCTGGGTTTAAGTAGAGGTTTCGTCAACTTAGGAGGGGTCGGGGTTACCGTCTGAGGAATTTCCAATCTAAGGTGGCAGTCAGCTTGACATACGTAGGCTCTAGATAGGTAAGCCGTAATGGGGAATGACAGACAATCCACTTCCATTTCACTAAATACAAATGAAATTTTGATCCATTATTTTCCCACAGTGATATTTCTGTTGACAAAGAACCATTCTCAATTTTAGAATTTTCCCGTCGATTGATTGAACCGAAGTGCTCAGTTTCAGGTTGACATGTCGGCTTCTTGTGCAGATGATTCGACGATATCTGACATGTAATTAGAAGTTAATTGGTGGATGGTGACTAGCAGTGGAATCCAGAAAAACGCGGAGTTTTCGTCCTACTTGGGACGTGTGGTCAGCTGGATGTACCTGCATTTTGCAGTGAGTGATGACGTTCCCACCAAGGCTCGAACCCAGTGCCCATAGTTTCAAACGCCAAAGCGTTATACACTAGACCACTTAGGCCACGATAGCCACCTCCTGTGCAACGGGTCATATTAATTATTAATTCAATTTTGGATTTTCCCGTCGACTGATTGAAGCGTTGCCCAAGTGGTCTAGTGTATAACATTTTGGCGTTTGAAACTATGGGCACTGGGTTCGAGCTCTGTTGGGAATATCATCATTCACTGCGAAATACAGGTACATCCAGCTGACCACAAGTCCCAAATAGGACGAAAAGTGCGTCCTGGATTCCACCAAAGAACCGTTTTACTTAAAACTCTTCCTTACACGCTCTAGTTTTAAATAAACATTCTTCTTTCCTCTTCAGACACTTTGAAACAACTGTTCTCAAGTATTTTCATGGTTTGATATCAGTTAGAAAGTTACTGGGAACCAGGGAGTACTGGAAAGCTATTTCGTCCTGGTTTGGTACTCTTCAGCAGTATGTTACTACGGGATTTTGAACCCAAAACCTTCATGTTATAAGGAAATCTTCTAGACCAACCGTTCACTGGGACCCAGTCATATGATTTACTCTTACTAAATCATGATTTTATCGTGACTAGCACCAGCGAATGTCATCATCGAGTGTTTGTCATCATGCCCGACCCCATGGATCCATAGGCTATTTCGTTCTGGTTTGGTTCAATAGTATGCACCCACCGATATTCGAACCCATGACTTTCAAGTTGCAAGCTGAGGACGTTGATGACTCAGCTACTGGGACGCAACCCAGTGGCTATTACGAGGTACTTTAATGCAATTTAAGGTGTACATTATACATAATTTATCATCACTCAAGTTGACCTTCCCAGACTAACTTCTGATTGGATGATTTTTTTAACGAATCAAATTAGAATGTAGGTTAAGAGAAATAATGATTAATAACGAAGAAATAATATGATTGGTTAATTGGACATAATAATCACTAACGTGGATTGGCTAATTCTGTCAACATGGAGAAGTATAAATACGAAAATAAATTGATAAAACGATGAAAATAAAGTTAACCTTTCCTTAGAATGCACGTGTCTACTTATCGGAATAATTGATAAAATCATGGATTTTTCTACTTTATGACTCTTCTGTCAAAAATCAATAATACTGGAAATTTCTACATTATGATATGTGAAATGTGAAGAAACTTGAAATATATATATTCATATTCATCATTATTACATAATATTGTGCAGTTGATTAAACACTAATCGTTATGAGTCGCATCAACGGGAATCATAGTAATAATAATAATAATAATCGTGCTTTCTCACTACCCCCAGAGAACATCAATTCAAAAACACATTATATCCCAGTGAAGGCAACGAATATCAATCCTCAACAGCATAGTAGGACACCGGGCGGTGGAAATAATGAAAGGGATCAGCGGAATATTAGAGCCAGACAGTCAAATAATAATAATAATAACAACAAGAACTACTCATCACTCGACTGGGATGAGAAACACGATCGTACAGACAGTGAAACAATGCTTCAAGAAACCCTGAATAATTTCGATAATATAACTCGACAATTTATGTGTCATTCGCCTAGTTTAAGCAGTTTGAATACCGATGAAGACAGTGGATATGTTCGTACACCGTTTGGAAATCGTCAGTTAGCAGATTCAGCGAATTCTGTTTTCAATTCTGGGCATACAGCATCAGAAGATTCCGTTGGTGGAAGTTCTAGTAATAAAGATGAATTTATACTGGTTATGATTGAAGACCTGGTTGACTGGTTCACAAAAATGTATCCAAATATGGCGGCTGGTTTGAATTCAGATAATTTCTTTGATCGTCTGTCTGATGGTGTCCTGCTGTGTCATTATGCTACGGAGTTACATAATCGGTTAGCTGCAGAATCAGGTAATACACTTCGAAATAGTAGACCTATTAAGTTGGCCAATTTTCGTGTCGGTGGTGTTCAGGCGATCCTTCCAGCTGCTAGCCCAGTCTATCAAACACGTGGATTGAACTCATCCAACGCTGCAGTTAGTTTTATTTCACGTGATAACGTCTCAAATTTTATTCGTTGGTGTCGTCAACTTGGTATGCGTGATTCTACACTGTTTGAAAGTGAAGATTTAGTCTGCCGTAAGAATCCACGTAATGTTGTTGTCTGTCTTCTGGAGTTGGCGCGTCTTGGTGGTCGAGTCGGTATGTCTATCCCAGAGATTGTTCAGCTAGAAGTGGAAATTGATGAACAACTGGCACGAGAGAATTTATCTAAGGAGTCTTTCAATCGATTAGCAGAGGAATATTCATTATCAGATCGAAAGACCAATGGGGATGAGAAAAATAAATCAATAAATCCTGGCCAACTGGACAGACATAACCGTGAAAAAAATATCGATTTAACTGCTGAGAATAATAATAATAACAATAATATAATAATAATAGTAATGATAATAGTAGTAATGATAGTCAAACTTATTATTATCGATCGAATCGTTCTACTGAATTACGTCGACAACAACAACAGCAACAACAGCAGAATAGACAACTGTCAAAGAGTAGAGTCAATCAAGCACAAAATTCAAGTCAAAAACAAACAAAAGATACACAAGAGGATAAAAAACAGAGACAGGAAATTCAACGGCCAGCTGTTGATTTTCGTTCTTTAGATGAATTGGTGAGTGAGTATTTTCTCTTCCTAAATAAAGTGATAATTTTTTGTGTACTAAATATGTTTAAATTCCAACTTGGAGTAAATTGACTCGATAGTTTGCTTAGAATACTACGAATATTGATCTTGTAGGCAGAGTGGTTTCAAATCCATGGGCGGGAACCTACACTAGAGTCTGTGGCTGTTTTCTTGCGTTCCATCTGGCTTCAGGCTTTCAAAGTTTCATTAAAGAGGGTAATGGCTTGCCAGTCTCACTCCAGAACTTGTCTCTTTTGCTATCTTTTTATTGTCTAGTGCGTCCGTGGCACAGTGGTTAGGACTCTCGCCGACCATGCACATGGTCCGTGGTTCGATTCCCTTCCGACGCACACCCGATATCTTCGGTCGGCCTGCAAAATTTGGGCTACCGACATCCATGCTGAAAATTCCATACTTGTACTGAAAATACGGTGTGGCATCAAGCTGTAGTCAAATATAAAAAATAAAATAAATAATCTAGGCGAGGTTGGGGTGGGTGTCGGCTGGGAATGGGACCCGACCAACTGTTTATTTGGTAGGAATTCTACCAGTGGAACAAAGAAGCATGAGATTGGATAAAACAGTTGTATATATTGTCTCTCTTATATCTTTATTTTTAGAATGAATTTGACTTTAAAGTAAAATTTATGACTCTGAAAATAAACCTTCTATAGTGCTACACTAAAATAATTCAGCAATCCAGTGACTCGACAGTGTCATCACAGCATAAGACGAAAGTAATTGGGCAAGCTGGAATTTATATTTTGGAAGGTAACAGAAAAGTGTGAGTTATGCACAGAGTTGTAGGACCAGCCAAGTGCCTTTAACAATCTTGAGGAATTCCATGACAATTGCGCGTTCTTCTCTTTATTCTCATTATTATTCTCTTGGGTTCTCATTGAAACATACGGCTTCACTGTCACATCTGCATTTTACTCTGTCCTCTAGAGTCTTTTTTATCTGGCTTCACGATTGCCTATAAGGTTTTGTTTCCTCCCTGAATGGTCTTCCTCGTGTCACAGTCGGACCCACGTCCAACTCATAGTTTCCTAAACCTATTCCACCCGAGGGCCTGGCACAGGATGTCACTCAACGTTCTTCTTAGTGTGGTGTATGTTCAGTTCATCCCTGTCTCCTTCGACGGGCAGTGTTAGCTGATATAGGGTCAGGCTGGAAAAGAGCTAGCGGCGGTCAAACCAAAACATGGCTTACCAGTCAATGAAATCTACAACAGTTAGTCTAGGCCACGTAGGAAGGTGTTGACTTCCTGGTTGGGGTCCTCGGGACGGTAAACACCAATGGTTGGAAACAAGTGGTGACACGGCTCAAAATCGTTCTCAATGGCTAACGCAGATGCATACACTCCTTGTGACTTATGATTTCCAATGAAACTGTTTTGTTCTTCGTTATTACTATACCTTTGTCTCACACCTCTGTTTACTGTCTATATTATGCATTTCTCCTACTTTCTTCTTTTGCTTTGTGTGCTACAAGGAGGGAGTGTGGTGACTTGAACTGCCGCACATATGTGTAAAGTTCTATGTCGAAAACAGACAGACAGACCTTCGGCGTACTAGTTTGATAGAAGGTAGGTTGTTGGTTGACTAGTAATACCAGAGTTCCTATTTGCTTATCCTGTCTCGTCGGCCATCTCATCTTCGATACGAAGGGAAGGCAGTTGCTAGCGGAAGTCTGCAGTGTGCTTTTGCAAGTATATTTTGATGATGTTCACGACAACTGTCTGCACTATATAGAACAGTTGACTGACTTGACATTATACCGAGTGTATTAGATTCTAGACTAATGAAGGTTTGTCTAGCTTTTTCGATCGTGGCTGGTTTTAATGTTCTCATCTGTCCCGTCTAAATAAGATTTATCCTGTTGATGGTGATTACAGCTTGTTTTATTCTGTTGGTTAAGCGTCTTCATCACCTATGTCTTCGGTTGAAGTCCTGTCTTTTCTGCCAACTTGTTAGTTTTGGTTTGTAGATCTTCGTTTTTGTGTGACATTTGACATAAATCATCCACCTATGACATTTGTGTGCGTCGGTGGCACAGTGGTTAGGACTCTCACCGACCATGCACATGGTCCGGGGTTCTATCCCCTACCGATGCACACCCGATATCTATGGTCGGCCTGCGAAATTTGGGCTACCGATATCCATGCTGAAAATTCCATACTTGTACTGAAAATACGGTGTGGCATCAAGCTGTAATCAAAATAAAAAATAAAATAAAATATCGTTGTTATAAACGTAAGTACTTTTCCTCAATACAGATTCAGTTACATTTAACTGACTTATATAGGATAGATAGACCGTAAAATACGATTAAGAGTCGAACACTGTGATCCTTTTTTTATCACAAATTTGAACATGTTTTAACTCCATTAAAGATTAGATTGTCTTTTTGATAAATCACACAGTGTTACACAGTAATATTAACTGACGACCACGTTTCAAGCACAATTTATCACTGCTCATAATCATATCAGGTCACTCACTCACACAACTTTCTTGCTTCATTTATATACATGAGTAAAAACTGATGATTAGACATTTGAATAAAAATCAATATAAGATAAAGTACATTCAGAAATAATAATATGAGTGTTATCAATCAAATACAATCAGACGGGAAATAACACGTTTTTTACGGTAAAAATAAGTAACTTGTTAGAATGTTAAAATGTGAATTGAATTGAAATACATTTTAACATTATTTATTATTCTGCAATTTAACTGGTACTCGATGAACCAGGACTCAGTAATCAATCTCTCCCTCTTTTCACCTACCTATATTACTCCTTAGAATTTTGACTCTGTCCCACCCACTCTATTGTGTAGTTGTGTGTTAATGCATGCAGTACAATGTAGTGCTGAGCTCCTTTCTATATTACTTATGTTCTGATAATCTCACTAATCCTAATCTACTAGTTTGGCCTATGTAGCTGACCTCACTCGCAGTCATTGCAAGGTATTTTGTAAATAATATTTTTTTTGTCCAATTGGGTCCGCTGAGTCCTTTAACCTAAAGAGCTTGTCCTACCTGAGTGAGTTTGTATGTTTGAATGCCACCACTCTAATTCCTGCTTTATTGAGTATCCTACTACGTAAGGTTTCAGATGTCCCCTCCTTGTATGGTAAAACTGCTACTGTAGATGCCTTATACTCTTTCTTATTTATGTTATCATTATTAGTTTCACCATTATTTTTATTTTGCTTTTGACCTTTTCTCGTCTTCCTAATGAATTTTATAGGATACTTAGTTCTTAAACACCGATGCTTCTTCTTCTATCTGTTTTATTTCATCATTTAAGTCTTTTGTTGTACTACTTAGTACTACTCCTCGGTATGTTAGACACTTAACTAAGCCTGGCTTAACAGTTAACGGATGACAAACAGATGAGATGAATTAAAGTCTAAATATCTATGTTTTATATTTAATGATCTGTTAAAGGAGACTAACACAACAGTTTCTTGTTACATGTCAGCTGGTAAACAGTTAGATAGTTTTGAAGTGTTAGTTTTCAGGGTCTTGATTGGTTACAGGTTTGATCATGAGCTGATATCAGTAGAAGGCCATGGGAAACCAGTAGGGAATACTAGTCAGTTTTTTTCATTCTAGTCTGGGACTCTTCAGCTGTATCCTTGGATTGGCCAGTGGTTGTGCTTTTTATATAGCGAATTGTCAGAAGCCAGAATTCATAAGCTATTGAGTCAGGTCACAGTAGCTGAATGGTTCGACGGCGAGCTCGTCTTTTAACCGGAAGGTCTTGAGTTCGAACGCCGGCGGGTGTCTACTCCCGAAGGGTCTCAAACTAGGACGAAACAGCTATCCAGTACTGTATAGTTTTCTAATGATCCTCTAATTGACGTCAGCTCGTAGTCAGACTTTTTACCTATATGTCGTCTTAAATATAAATAATCCAATTAGTTTAAGTGTACCATCATATTACTTTTTTTTGTGATATGTTTAAATGAGTTAAATTCTGCGCTTATTACGAGCTTGAAAGTCTCATATTTGATGAGTCTGCATGCCAATACACACAGTACCAGATACAGTATTAATAAGTGAATGACGCTTAAAGCACAATTTCCAACTCAACATCATATCACTAAATAGTTTCAACAGGTGTATGACTGTTTTCTTTTACCTGGGAGAGGGGTTGTTAGCCCTAACCCCCCCCCCTCCGACCTTCCCACTTCTGCGAGGTTACCATTGGCCAGAAAACTACACGAAATTTAAGAGTACGTTGGTCAAGATTCAAAAACTGACCTGTTCTATGGCTGGTTCCACATCATTTTACCATTGGACAGTTAACGCACACCAGCGTATCTAATGTAATTAAAACTCAGGAGAGGAACATTTAAATTATTATTGAAAATCTGCCAGTATTCTGTAGCGTTGAATAATGATGCAGTGTGGAATTCTTAGAATTTGGTGCAACAGTGTTGCATTTAATTCAAACGATAACAGCAGAAACGAAAATATAAAAAAAGAATAATATTATAGGATTGATAATGGCAGTGCTTTTGGTATTTGCAGTGACAATAAGGTCAGAAATGTACAAAAAGTTTAAACTAATAATAATAATGTTAATAGCTATAATTATAATTTGATTGAAATAGTGATGTCACCATAAAATTACAAATATAGGAGAATGACTGGACCATTTTTTATGCTAATTACACAATAAGCAGTAGATTTCACGCTTAACATTATTTTTTTAAAATTTTTGATTACAGCCTGATTCCACACCGTATTTTTTGGTACAGGTATGGAATTTTCAGCATGTGATATCGGTAGCCCGAATTTCGCAGGCCGACGATAGATATCAGGTGTGCGTCGGCAGGGGATCGAACCCCGGACTATGTGCATAGTCGGCGAGAGTCCTAACCACTGTGCCATCGACGCACAATAAGTCGTAGATTTCACGCTTAAGATTATCTCGACCACACAGGACACGGACAGTCGGACCAAATATG